AAGTCAGTGAAAAATGTGACCAGGACTTTGTTGGCAGAATTAGGCCTCACATTCTCAGCATTTCTCCAGGTAGCCTTTACCACAAACTAACATGTTTTATGCATCACATCAGATGTGATAGCTCATCAGTTTCAGTGCAGCTGAGCTATATAAACCAGATTTTCTCTGTAACAGGATGAAGATAAGCTCATTCTTCTGGCTTGTTTGTACAGAGCAAGTTTAAATGTAAAAGTTATTGCCAACACAGGTCCTCATTTTGTAGTCAAAATTTCTCAAACATTGTAAGAAAAACCTCTTAGATTTTTATTTGCAGTAAACCCCATAAATAAGCTGGGTAAGATTCAGGTTTGATAAGCATTCTGGTTTGCCCTCCTCTTTTGCTCGTACTCATCACACTGCGTATCTTCCTTGAACTTCAAGTTATCATTTCTGATTAAATCTCTTGGACCACAGACTCAGTCATGACTAGCATCAAGTTCTGGAATTTTAGGGCATCTTTTCCATTCCCCAGACCCTCCAGTTAAAATTTGTGATCACTTCTAGCATGGAAAGGTGGCCAGAAGCAGCCACTACTCACACAGGGGAACTTAGAGGAGCACGACAGAGGGAATTCTGCAGGTCTTAGGGACTGGTAGGGAGGGTGCTGGGGACCTAAAATTTGTCAAAAACTATAGGCAGATGAGAGTGAGGCGGGGAGAACCGTCTGGGAAATATAGGGGTAGAGAGAGGAAGATCCAAAATCAACCATCTTTTTTGATTGTTGCTTTTTTCATTGATATTGGCTAAAAATAAATACCGAATCCTATCAACCCTTCCCACTGATAACTGCATAAAAAGTCTTTATCATTAACGAATGGGTTGCCCCCAGTATTTTCACAGTTTCAGGACAGAAACAGTCAAACGTTTTTGCAACATGAATTATGTCTAGGTTTTGGCTATGCCACATCAAACTTCATGGAAACTTTTTTTTTTTATTATTTCTTCCTTTTTTCTGTTATTTTTTTCTTGCAAATCCTGTCATGCATTCCAATAGTGAAATTTTCTTCTGGTTTGAGGAAGAATCCTAGGACAGGACTGTAGAGCAGTTTGTAGGAGTAAGCATTTTTTGTGTAACTCAGTCATGGGACATCTGAGACTGTCAAAATTTATTGTAACTACTCACAGCTCTAAGTACAGGAATTCAGGTTCAAACTCAGTACTGACAGTCGTGAATACACATGATACAGAGGTTGATGGATGTTCTCCAAGTTTTTGTAGAATTTGAGGGTTGTTCAGGCAGGTGGCTTGGGCTAGATTTCAGAGTGTGGAGACAGCTCTGTGACATAAGAATGGCTGTGTGATCCAGTAGATGAGGTATTTTATTTGTTAATTTGGGAAGCCGTGGTTTTATTGAATCTGCTGATACTTTGCTGTGTAACCTGTGACAAACCCCTTGTCTCTTATTCATCCTGTTTTCCCATGGAGGGGTGAGTGCTAAATGGTAATTATTTGGAAAAGTTGTATGAGAATGAAAGTGTTTTCTTTGTGATTCCATTGAAATATGGGTTTGACAAGTGCTGTGTGAGATTACTGTATTGTGGGTTGTATATGTCCAGTAATGTAGCTAGGCGCCAAGGTACAGCATTAAAATGTAGGAACACATTCTGAACACATCTCTTTCCTTTTCGGTGAAATAACTGTTGGATCAGCAAGACAAAAAAACCCCTTTCTCTGGAACTGAAAAGACATGATTTTTAATTAAACATTAAATAATCTTGCAACATCCCTCAGCTGCATCTAATGTAACAGGGAAAAAAAAGCAACAATGTATTTCTAAAGCAGAATGATGGGAGTGCCTTCAAAATGTGTGAACCGTATTATAGATTTATTAATTATTTAGCTCCCTTGCAGCTAAAGGTAGAAAAAAAGGGCTAGTACTGAAGTAAAGAAATGAGTACATATTTTAGGAGTTGAACACTATATCACAAATTTTTTGTGTTTTAGCTAGAAGAACAACACCCCTTTTGGAATATATTAAAAATAGAAAATTAGAAAAGCAGGTACGTTCAGACTTTTGCCTGAAGTTCAACATTTATGTTTCACATGGTTTCCTGTTGGACAATTTAAAATTAATCGTTTTGAACTCTTCAGAGAATACGAGAAGAGAAAAGAGAAGAACGAAGGCGGAGAGAACTGGAGAAGAAACGTCTGCGGGAGGAAGAGAAAAGGAAGCGCAGAGAGGAAGAAAGACGTAAAAGGAAAGAAGTGGAAAAGCAAAAGAAAATTTCTGAAAAAGAAATAAGGATCAAGGTACCTTAATGAAAAAGATTGTTCTTCTGTTTTAAGCTATCCACAAGTTCCTTTGGTATCTCCCTGTTTATTTAGTGTGCTACAGCACACCATGTGGAGATGCCAAACTGATTTTGACTGGGAGGGAAAGTAACAGGGCTTTGTCTAAGTAGAACTGTCTGGAAGCGTGACTGACTGACTGCCTTAGGTACAGTGATGTGCTGGTGCAGTCAGGGCAAGTCACTCTTTGTCCACTACTGCTGTGTTCTGTGCTGACAGAACGGGACAGAACCAAATTATTCTGTGCAAACATGTTGGAATATTATTGCAAATATGGTTTGAACACCTTCTGTCATGTCCATCTTCATTGAGCCATACCTGGGGAGAGTTGGTTTTGTTTATGCTCAGAACTGATGTGTTTTAACAGTATGCTTTAACCAAGGGAGAACAAAGTCTTGTTAATTTCAGGCTGCTCTGCCTTGTAACAATGTGAATGGATGTGCTTTACATTGCTTCACTTAGGTGGGTGTAAAGTCTGGACATTTAAAACTTTAGAATGACATAGAGCATCTGTACTAAATTTTATGATGTTGGAAAGGTTTTATAGGCTGTTTGGAAAGAGGGAAAAAGAGTCTGTAACTTAGCACAAGGATACACAAACTCACTCCAGATCTTGTGGTGGGAATAAGCCACAGACTCGTGTACTTCTTTCTTCTTCCTGGGCCAAGATTTCCTTCACTTGGATATATAAAAATAGTATGTTCCAAAGCCAGTGTACGAATTTCTTACATCTGGGCATAAAGAAAAGCACTCTAGAAGCTCAGAAGGAAAGGGATTTGCTCCTTTAAATATATTACCCAAAATCCAACAGTATTTATGACGTATCTGTGGTGATGTCACCTTGAAATCTCGTTCTGTCTCTGAAATGACCTGAGAGAAACATTGTAGAAGTTTTAAATATTGGAGAATAACCTATGCTCATTTCAGAAAAACTGGAGGCATGGAAAGGCTGGTGAGACGTTTTGCTTATTTCTGAAATGTTAGAGAAATAGTTTGAGACAGTGGATCGTTCTATAAAGATTATTCCTGCAACAGTAGGCACTGTTTAAACCCTCTGTCAGTTATTTAGTATGAAAGGAACAGACTTCTCAAAAATCTTACTCTCCAAGGCAAAAATCTAATGCAATCTTTTCTGCTAATATCATAATCTTTTCCTCAGTCTGTATTTCTGTCAGAGTGTATTTATGCTAAGCATCTACTATATGCCAGTCTATCTCAAGTAGTTCGTGAGGCACACATTTTATATATACTCTTTCAAGGAGTGAAGTATTAATCCTGCTCTCTTTGCAGTATTCATGGAATCATTAAGGTTGGCAAAGATCTCTAGGATCACCATGTCCAACAGTCAAGCCAGTACTACTAAACTGTATTCCAAAAAGCCACGTCTGCACATTTTTTGAACACCTCTAGGGATGGTGACTCCACCACTTCCCTGAGCAGCCTGTTCCAATGCCTCACCACTGTTTAAGTAAAGAATTTTTTCCTAATATCTAATCTAAACCTCCCCTGGCACAACTCGAGGCCATTTCCTCTTGTCCTATCACTAGCAACTTGGGAGAAGAGAGCAACACCCACCTCACTGCAGCTTCCTTGCAGGTAGTTGGAGAGAGCAATAAGGTCTCCTCTCAGCCTCCATTTCTCCAGGCTAAACAATCCCAGTTTCCTCAGCCATTCCCCATAAGACTTGTTCTCCAGACCCCTCACCAGCTCCATTGCCCTTCTCTCTTCTTGTACTTTTCTTCTTGCCCTTCTCTTCTTGTACTGCAATGCCAAAAACTGAACACAGTGCTCAAGCTGTGGCCTCACCAGTGTCGAGTACAGGGGCACAATCACTTCCTTGGTCCTGCTAGACACACTGGTTTTTATATTGTATGGTATTGGTATTGTAGAGGTTCTCCTTCTTACTTTATTGGCAATATTATTGAGCTCTATTATATGATTTCTAAGAAATCGTAGACAATAATAATACCTTTATGTATAAAACTCAGGAGAAAAAAGTAGGTAAGTGCTTTCTCCAGTACTCTCAGCATTTTTAAAGGTGTGCAGTTGAATCCCTACTAATAACTACCACTCCTTAGCAAAAGTAAACTGTCCTTTTTAAATAACTTTAAATTTCATACTTTGTAAAGCACATTCCTAGCATTTAAATAAGATATCTTAAATCTTAAGAAGTTACTGATATCTTTAATACGTTGTTAAAATGTCTATTACAACAGAGGAGAATAATTTTACATCATAATGTAAACAAATATCTCTTAGCTTCTCAAGAAGCCTGAAAAAGGAGATGAACTGGCCAGTGAAAAGCACAAAGAAAAATGTGAAGAAGCTGACATTGAGGAGAGCAAATGGGATAAATCACCTGGATCTGGGAGTATAAAATCCAAATCTTTGGAGAGTTCATTAAAAGAACTTAAGGAAAAGTAAGTTATATTTCTCTTTTCTGCTTCAATTTAAAACCTAAATGCTTTCATCTCAAGGCTTAAACATAAGTGGTGCATTGACTGGGTGTTTTTCAGCAAAGAACTGATTTCTTTCTCTGTGTGAACAAATCTCTCACTGTCCTTTTTGTAAAAGGAGTTTAGTAACAGCTTACTGATCTGATGGGAGTATTAGTGGATGCAGTTTGTTAATTATGAAATGTCTTGAAGTCCCAAATTAAAAGGATGTCTGCCTGAAAAGTCATTCAGAGTTTTGTTATTTCACCTGTTCCCCATTAAGAGCTCAGGTAAGGTCCTCCATCCATTAGATGTCTAAGACTAAATTGGCTACAGTGCCTTACTTTGCCTTTCCACTTGGTTTTACTGCAATAAACATCTAAATGTGTTTGAGAAATGGGCCAATGGCAGAATAGTCAAGGTGTGAGTGACAGCCTCATGACAGATACATGCAGAAGGCTGTCTCTTGTCTCCCCCTGCCTTCTGTGTTAGGTATGTAATGTGCAAAATACATAAGTAAGAATAATGTGCTCCTAAGATAAATAGTAATTTGTTGCTCAGTGGAGTTTTTCAGCTGACCTTGCAAAAGTACTTTGCAGTACATGAGGATAAGCTTGAGCATTTAAGTCAGTTACCTAAGGCATTACATATAAAATATTACAGGAAGTTTGCGATTGTGCTCTAGGAGTCTTGCAGGCTACCTACTTATTCAGAGCAGTTTAAGTCCTATCTTTGTCCACATAGGTTCTCGATTTTTAGGAAAAGTATGGAGGAGCTGCAAATGTTCTCCTAATGGCAAATAGGAAAATAAACTTTGAACTCCAGAAAATAAAACCACTTTTTTTTTTTTTTTTTACTATTTACTCTTGATCCTCTAAGCTTAATAAGGCAACAATGTAGATTTTCCACAAATAAAACAGAATAGCAAGCTATCAGCTATTTCAACTGGATCGAGAATTAAAGTTGAAACTATTTTGTCACTGACTCAGAAATCAGTAATAAACTGTAGCTTCCAATTCTGCGTGCAGGAGACTGTTTGAAACTATGTTGTAAGGCTCAGTTGCTCTCTACCAGAAATTAAAAACCTTGCTATGTGAGTGTACATGGTCACATGTGCATGTGGAGCTAAACCAAATGGAAGGATGCTTCCATTTGTTTCTGCTTTCTCTTTGGCTGTGTAACTTTCTCTTCCACCTATACTTTGTAATTGTGTACCCTGCCATTTCCAATCTGGCCTGCCTGTTTGTTCTGACTGAGTTTTAGAAAGCTACTTTAACTGTTCTTGAAGTGGGGTTTGTATCCCTGTCACCTGCAGACCGCCCAGCACATCCATTCCTTCCTCGCCCACAGTGACAGGCAGGGCAAGGGACAGGTGCCAGGCAACATGACAGCAACAAAACGAGACGTGTCACTGGCTTTAAAGGAAGGTTGTGCTCTCAGCCTGCTGGGGCTTGGAGTTAGTGTCTGTAACAGCATATTAAATATGAAACAAAGCAACTTTGAGCCACATAACCCTGGAGAATCGTAGAATCATAGAATGTCAGGAGTTGACAGGGACCTCGAAAGATCATCTAGTCCAACCCCCCTGCCAGAGCAGGATCACCTACAGTAGGTCACACAGGAACATGTCCAGGTGGATTTTGAAAGTCTCCAGAGAAGGAGACTCCACAACCTCTCTGGGCAGCCTGTGCCAGTGCTCTGTCACCCTCACAGTAAAGGAATTTTTCCTCATGTTGAGATGGAACTTCCTGTGTTCTAACTTAAACCTGTTATTTCTGGTTCTATTATTGGGCACCACTGAGAAGAGATTGTCTCCTTCCCTAACATAGTAGTATTTTATATATATATAAAATTTTATATATATATAAAATTTATGTATTTATGCTACAGATATAGTATCTCTGTAACCATGATTGATTCAGGTGTCAGTGACAACTGGGACATTGCTTCCTCGTAGTGAATGTGTTATGCTGACAAGCACAGCCTTAGGAAAAGCTCAATAACTTGTCTGTCATTCAGGTTTCAATGCTGACCTTCAGCTCTTCCTGAGATGAGGCCCCTCTCTTGGCAGCCCTACCAATGCCTAAGTTTGTGGCAGAGGCTGACAATTTGCCCAGTTCTGTTTATTTAAAAAAAATACACTTTTATTAATATTAGAAGCATGTCACTATTTGATCACTACGTCATTAGAAAATCTCCATCCTCTCTGATTCTGGCTGCTGATTCCCAAAATGTGAGCAGACTGTCAAAACCAACTTTCCTATTTCAATTTTAAATATAAATACATGTGTAATATATAAAAAGAAACTGCCTATATTTGCTCCTTTTAAAGTTCAATCTATTCTGTACTCTTTCTTCATTATTTGCAGTTTGGCTGTATGAGAGAAGCACCTGCTTGCTGAACAGGAGCAATGAGCTGGGAATTGTATCAGACAGGCAGCAAAATGCTGCAAACAAATAGTCTTTATAATAGAAACCCATTGCAGCATAGCAGAAATTAATTATTATGTTGTGGTAAGGTAATGGTTTTTCACCTACATAAAACACACAAAGGTAGGCTAAATTACTTGGGGACATAATGAACATAAGTATTTGTTTTCACAAATGCCTTCTGCAAGTTGCAGTGTCAGTGAGTATTTCTTGTTAACAGTGAGTATTTCTTGTTAAATAGTCATAGAACTTTATAAATTGATACATGATACTTGCGCAATTCCTCTGGGCCCTGAGGGTTCCCATTCAAGAGAACACTGAACGACAAGTCGCCTCGAGAACAGGCCGCAAGAGCTAATCATGCAGCACGTGCTTGTGTGAAGAGGACTGGGAAACTGTTTGTGGGATTGCAGAGGGATAAAAGTTGGAGAATGGGTCTTCCACAACAGTTGCACAAAATCCAATTTTGCTTGCAAAGCTTTGCGTGCTACGTTGAACTGAATGGTAGCCAAGGGCCAGATGCCTGGATGAGACATTCAGCAAAATTGCACGTAGCCTCTTTTTAATGAGAAAAAAATGGTCTTGCCATACGATTGATCTAAATACTGTTGAAATCAAAGGAAGGCTTTGTATTGTATCGTTCATCAGCTTTTTTGTTTACTGTTAATTGCTTGGATTTTCTTCCTTTTTGTGCATACTCATAGGTCACAAAATGATAGTGACAAAGAACAAAGAGATTTGGAGAGAAGATACCGAGAAAAAGAACCTGAAAGACAAAGGTATCGATCGGATGATGGCAGAAAGCATAGAGCTCACTATGAGTTTGACAAGTTTGTGAGAAGGAATGAAGACGAGCTGAAATGGGGGAAAGGATACAGCCAAGACAGAGGAAAGAAAGGGAACTACAACTACAGCTTCACTGTGGAGGCAGTAGACAAACTGGGTAAAGAGGACAAGTGTGATGACATGGCATCCAAAAAGGAGCGCATAAGAAATAAGGTTCTTTTATTCATTTAGGATAATCTTTCATTAGTTAACTGTGCTTCAAGATCACAGGTTTTACTTTTGCAAATTCAGCATAAAGATGCTTTTTCAAAAAAAAAAAAGCGATTCTTTATTTAATTTTCAGTAAGACCCAGGCTTCTCTTTATTGTTACCAGAAGACAACAGCAGTTAAACAAGTTAAGGTTATAGGTCTCTGCTCATTCATATTTATGATATATAGGAGACTTTTTGTCTTCCTTTTACCCCTAGCACTTTTAGAATGCTATTCTTGGAAGCCTTGTATTTTACAAGCATATTAAAAAGTTGTGAGCCTTCTGATTTGTAATGAAATATAAAAACAGTGGGATGCTGGTCTTTTAAAAGCGTATTTCCATTATGCAGCTCGTAAAGTAGCTATATTATGGATTGGCCAGGCATTTCTTGGTAGAGGAACTATAAGGACTTAAATAGCTAATTCAGCAACCATTGCATTTAGAGCATGTGAATGTGCAGATTCATTGGTATTGTGTACCTGCCAGTACGAAAAGGCTGTTGGTCGCTCAGGACAAATTATCCTCACAGTCATTGTCAGAGTGGTGCAAAACCAGTGCAGGCAGGGCCTGTGGCAGGGTGCACGGTGGAGCTGGCCTTTATTGTCTTCCAGAGACGTGTGCATCCTTCTTCTCAGACTGTCTGATTTCATGGATGTGCTAGGGTCTTTTCAGGAAGTGGCTCTCCTTGTCACCCTCATTCTCTCTCCCTTCTGATCCTAGATTTTTCCACAAAAGATGACCAAAACACTGTTTTGTGTAGAATTTTTTTCTGCATATGAAACTCTTCTTTCAAACCAAGTGACTGATCCTTGATGGGGGCTAAGGCTGACAGGGAGTAAACGGGTCACGTGCAGAGTGAGCCTGCATAGGCTATTGCATAGTGCACGTCAAGTCAAGTCATGTTGTGCAAACACAAGCAGCCCGGCACGCCCCGTCTTTCCTTTATGCACAGGTCAGCAGGCCAGCATGGGTGAGATTGATCTGCATTAGGCATTTCCCACCTCTGCCAGCAGCTCAGGGTGTAGAACAGTGAGAAAAAATGGCTAGATCAGAAACGGGATGATGGGAAAAACCATTTTCTTCATGCTTGCCACACTGCTCTTGAAATCCAGCGAAATAATCTGCAACCTTGGAACTGAATGTTGAGTCTTGGGGGTCTTTTGTCAAGCCTTAAGGAGCCACCTCCTAAGTTTTTTTTGCAGCGTGGTGACTTTTTTCTTTGAGTATTTATCACGCAGATAAGAGTTAGGGGCTGAGTTTTCCAGTTTACCAATAGAATTCACAGTGCCAATGGAAATTTACTTTTTAGGCAGAGATTGAGCTGCTTCCTGAAGTTTGCAGGAGTTAATTAGAAAATGGGAAACTTCCAGTGTGAGTTGGCCTGGCTTTCATGCAAACTGCGAGGTACAGCATCAGCAATAGGAAAAATCATTTGGACCCTTGATGATAAACTTTCCAATGGGCTTGTCAGAAGATCTGTTTTTATACAGCTGTTTGTGATGTGGAAAGACGTACGCTACACATTTCAAGCGCACCACAAAGCACTAACTGGAATGATCTGGTTGTGTGGCCCAATAGTGAATCTTGATATCTGGTCTAAAGAGATGGAGAAAAAAGGGGAGGGGAAAAAAGACAAAAGGCAAAGGAAAAAGAAAGAAAAAGGGAAAATGCCTATTGGGAACAAGAAAAAAGAATGAAAGAACAAATACCAGAATGAGTTGTGAAGCAATTGAAAATTAACATAGTTTGGTGTAGGACAGTTTCAGTGCTCTGCCACTGTCTTAAAAGTCTGTTTAATTTGGTTTGCTAAATTTAACACAGGACTTTGATCAAAAACCTCAGGTTTTTGTGAATGGATTGCTCCATAACATCAAAACCTGGTATTTGTAAGAGTGAAATACTCTCACGAGGAAACGACTTCTTAAGCAGAGTTTCTAAACCATATGTTTTATTATTGAAATTTCAAGAATAGAAAGTGCTCTTAATAGCTATGTCTGCGAGTCTGAGGTGCCTTTTCCTTGTAAACTGGCTCCTCCTTCCGTTTGTCGGTGATGAAATCAGTGTGTGTGTCACCGGGTCGCTCACAAAGTCTGCACATGCTCCGATTGTACTTTTGTTTGTTACCAGTGGGTGACTTTCCCTGCTCTCACGCTTAGGTAGGGAAGGCCTGATGAAGTGGAGCAAGAATGGTGCAGTTTTATTTTACTATGTATGTATAATTCAGATGTGCATTCCCTGTTTAAATTGTGGTTAGTGATTGATGATTCAAAGAGCACTGCACACATACTGATTGGTAAAGTTCAGCTGAGGATCATTTTTTAGCTGTTACCTGCAAAACTGTTCATGGGTTCATCTTATTTTTTAATGGTTATTTTTAATATTTGTCATTCATCTGCAGAGTTGCAAATGTGCAAGCTGTCCTTATTCTCAGTTCATGTTAGCGAAGGTAGCAACATTTTTCAGTTTTACCTGTAGTGCTGTGCTTGATAATTGTCTGCAGTATTTCTCCTTGTTTACATCAAATGTATCATGGGATCTTTAATTTTTACAGCTTTCTTCATCTATTCAAAATGCTTGGCTCCCAAGAATAGCGTTACAGACAAGACCGATATTAAACACTCCATCAATTTTCATTACACTCCATCTTTTTTTCCTTGGGTCTCATGAAATGTAAAGTGAGTTAACACAAAATCCACTTTCTTCACAAACATCCCTCACTTTAAAATCTCCCATGTGTACCCCGTGCCAGTTTCTCAGAGCGTTAACCTCGCCTCCTTCCTTCTAGGATCGCCCAGCCATGCAGTTATACCAGCCAGGAGCTCGCATTCGAACACATATGGGATGTACAAGTAAAACCTACGACTGCGGTGGGAAAGCCTTTGAAGATGCTCTTGATAAAAAGTATGATGCAGATAATTCAGCTGGAGGTGGTTCTGAGAAGAGCGAAGAAGAGTAAAACAAACTGGAGGACAGGCTTGTGAGAAAGGATGAACTTCAGATTCAGTGTCGTCACAAAAAAATAAATAAATTTGTAGGGCTGTTTCAGAACCCCTCGGGCGATTGCACTAACAAAATTACAATAGCTCTGCCTCTTCCTTTCTGTAAAATAAAGCAGAGAGTGACTGGAGACTTCAAAAGTATCTTGCAGCAAAGAAGTATTGTTGCTTTTTTACAGCAAGCAGTGCAAACGCTATTTGCCTCATCTGAAAGCTGCTCGATACTTTATTAGGTTTATCTTGAAACAGAAAACCTCTGCTAGTTTTAAAGGAGTATTTATATAGGACTCTTCAGAAGCTATTTCACCTCTTCACGTCTGAAGAAACAAAAGGTAGATTTGCATCGGTGGGAAACCTGAGGCACTTTAAGTGGATTTGGTGCATGACAGGAGGGTCACAGGACCCCTTCCTGCAAACGGGGAACTGCAGTGGGGCTCGGTGGGACGGGCCCTGGGAGGAAGCTCTGGAGCTGGCGGCATTTGCAGGATGGGGCCCGCAGCTCGCACAGTTGTGAGAAATGTTTGTTGGTGTCTGTACCTCATTGTGTTTACGTTGTTTTCCAATTAACTATAGCATCAGATAAGTGTTAGTAAAGCTTACAAGTATGTTGTTGGAGAGTTTGTTGTTTTCTGAGCCACTTTTGACTTTAATTTTTTTAATAGGTACTTGTGCTTAAAACAAGAAAGCTAAAGCAAACCTCAGCACTTAGGCAGTATACCTGGTTTTAATAAATTAGATGTTTTCTATGTTTTTGACACTGACTTTTAAAAAAAAACAAGTGGTTGTACAGTGATGACTTTTTATATGCTGATGTTTCATAGAAGTTGCGGTCACAGGATTTGGAAAGTATATGATACGTGAACATTCTACAGTTCTGTTTGTTAAAAAACCAAACACATGTGAATGTCAATTGCAAGCTACCATTCTGTAAGATCTAGGCCAAATTCTGCTCTCTGATGCAGGCACATATATATAGATACCCGTGTGTGTATATATATATGTCTTCTGATGGTTTTGATTATAGCTGCATGTTTACAGAAGGGCAGAATATGCTCATTTATCTTCCATGGCTGAAAATTTCTCATTTGTCTGAAACTGAGACCCACTTTGTCACTGAAGTTAAATAATATTAATTTATTTTTACATCCTCTTTGAACATTTTATTATTAAGCATAACATCTAATTGTTCTAGACTGAAAATATATTTATTGTATTTTCCCAGATAATAAGCATTAAATAAAAGCAGAAAGATTTTGACTATGGGTTTGAGGTGATCTTCTACAATTTTTCCATCTATTGCTCTAGAAAATTTAAGTAAGATGCTGTGCTCCTTTGTATTCTTCAGAAGCAGATAAAGATACAGTTGAAAAGAATTTTAATACCAAGCTACATAAGCAAACTGCCAACTAAAATTACTTCATGTAAAACTGCTGTTAGTGAATTATTTGGGTTTAGCTCCATCTAAAGTTTATCTTGTTTGCCAGGTTTACCCTGACCACAGAGGATGGCTTTTGTCTTGGCGCCCTGGCTGGGGCAGGTGGCCTTAGCATGGGGCAGCCTTGGCGGAAGAGCCCTGCCTGGTCCGAGGAGACTTGCCAGGGAAGTTCTACAGCAGAGCCAGGCAGAGCTGAGCTCTTCACCAGCTGAGTGTCTGCTGAAAGCAACTGGTTCCCACATGTCTGGATGCCCTGGGGAGGTTGCAGGAAGGGTCTCACTCATGTGAGGGACCTGCAGGATGCAGAGAAGCAGTGATTTTGCACATGCTTGCAACCTCAAGCTTGATATCACAGAATGTTCAGGGTTGGAAGGGACCTCGAAATATCACCTAGTCCAGCCCCCTGCCAGAGCAGGATCCCCTAAGGCAGGTCACACAGGAACACATCCAGGTGGGTTTTGAAAGTCTCCAGAGAAGGAGACTCCACAACCTCCCTGGGCAGCCTGTGCCAGGGCTCTGTCACCCTCA